AGTATATATATATATATAATAAGCGTGGTGGAGAACCTGTTGCTGATAACATGTGCCTGGAATGGTGTACAGGTGACTGTTCAGCAAACTGGCTGTGAGAGGTCATCTAAAAAGACAGTTTTTCAGATTTTAGCCAAAACATATTTGAGCATAATATGGTTTGGAGCATTCTACAGGCATTTCAAGAGTAAATGGAAACTGCTGTAAACAGTTTCTTTGTAAAAGGTGGTGTCAGTGATGTGAGCAATTTAGCCAATTTGGTAAAGATTTTTTTTAATATATTCTGTGAGTAGCTCAGATTTAGTGTGTTCTCTATCATTAAGTGAGTCTTAACTTCTCCATTTGGAGTAAGAGTGTTTTTTACTGGTGACTTCTGAACTTCTGTAAGTCGTTCACAAGTAGTTCTCTGACTGAAACATGCAGCTGGTAAGCAAGTCAGTTATATTCCCTGGGTCCTTGTTAGTAGTTGCCCACCTGTTTTGGGCTTGAAAAGCCTAATTCCTCATTCCTTGTCCTCTATTGTGGACACCTGCAACATTCTGTTGTTCAGGTGTCTTGGACATCCATTGGGCCTAGGGCCCTGTAGACCTAGAGTGTGTTATAAATACATTGTTAGATTAAAAAAAGTTTGTATTTGGGTGGTTTAATTTCAAAATTATTTGTCACAGACCCATCCAAGCATTATGGTATTGCTATTTTCAAAACATTCCATGAAGTTGGTCCCATGCTATGTTCTCAAGCTCTTGCTAGAGATTTCTGCTGGGCTTTCTTTCATTCTTGTTTTATAGTGCTTTGTATTAAATGCCTGATCTCACTCATACTTCTGCTGACTTTGATTACAATGAATAGATATACAGTATTGTCAAACTTAAGAATGCACGGCTGTGCACATTTATTAATAAATTCAATTGTACTTTGAATGGGCTACTTCCATCAGATTAGATTGCAAGCATTTTTTATTATTCTTCAGGGAAACAGTAAACCATCCATGGATATTAGACCCATCTGTAATCTTTTTAATAGTGTTCCTCAAACTATAACAAACATTGAGAATTATTCCAGTCTCTGTTCATGGTTGTTAGTGTTCTGCTGATAAATTATCAAAATCCCTGAAATAACTACACATCTGAAGTGCTTTATTTGAAAAATGCCTCTTGCTGCTAAAGTCTGAATGTGTGACTTCTTTTGTGTAATTGCAGGTCCTCAGTTTTCAGAAGACCCCTCTCAGTTTCAAACTTCCCCATTTGGAGACTACAGGCAATATCAATGATTGTATATATTCTTCCCTTCTGTGCTGTACAAGCAAGTCGTTGCCCTTAAAAGAAGAAGCAAGATGCAGCATCACTTGAAGACTTTTTACTAGATGTGTACACTTAGATGTTTCTGTATTTTTCACAATATTTAAATTATGAATAGTAGAATTCCATTATTGTAAAGTGGATATGAAATGCCTGAAAAACTCCTTAGTTTGGTCTTGTCTTAAGAGGACCAAGCAGTGTATTGTTTCAGAAAAACTTGAAGCCATGGCCTTTATTGTACAGCATTAACTATACTGGTGCCATTAAGGGACAGAGCAGCCATGCAACACTGGAGGTGCCTCCCCTAAGTATCTGAGTGTTTCTTCTTATAGGGCAATTGAAGTGGGCTGTTTTCTATTTTGTATTATGTGAGCTCTCTACAATTAGATCTTATGTCATTCACATAAGTGCATAAAGATGCTAAACTTGCACATGTAAATCTGTTGCTCCTAAATATGACAAATCTGCAGAGCAAAAACATTATTCCCCTTTCTGTTCTTGTACAATCTTTGCAGGTCCTGAATATCTGTAAACATTAGCGGGTTTGAGTGGCCTTTCCATTCCTGAATATGAATTAGCAATATATTCACACTGCGTTAGATCAGATCACTTTGCAGAAAAGTAGACATGTAAAAGGGCAGAATTGATCCATCTTAGTCATGCTTGCAAATCCAAGTACCTGACACACACTGTTCAACTGCTAGGTGTTTTCCCCCAGAGACTCTGTGCAGAGTAGAAACATACCATTTATATTAATTCTAAAAATGTGAATGAAGAAATGACTCTATCCACGAGCTGTATGACTGCACAGGCTGTAGAGTAGGTGGGTGTGGGAACATTTTAGGTATTTGAAACAGAAAGATACAGCAATCATGTTTTAAAAAGTTGTGATTCAAGAAAACTTATAATGCACTACCTGCAGCATCCCTTTGCAAAACTAAATGTAAATTACAGTTATCTAGTGGCACCTTTCTCTCATTAATCCATTGTAAAATGCTAATTTTCACACAGATTATATAAAGATCCAGGTATTTATATACACATACAAACTTTCTGTCCATTCTGCATGGTTCTGAGCTAGTAGGCCAGTGTCTTAATTAAACTACTTCATGTGTATCTTGGGTATTTGAGAAGTAAGTGCTTTCCTGCATAGAAAACATAGTTTTCAGCCATGGGAGTGATATCCTAAAATTTGAAGTGTTACAGCCCAGACGTCAGGAACACCTCTACTTGTTGTCTTGCATGAATGAGTGAAACTCAATAATGCTGTTACCTAGGGGAGATCTCTCTTAGCACAAGCTCATTGTGTTAAGTAACTTCCTCCAATAAATACACTGCCCTGTTTATGACACTCTTTTGTCTTTCAATGCATGCTCCATCACTATAAATTACTGTGGAGAGCCAGCATGGTATACTGGATGGAGTTGTAGACTAGGACTTGGGAGACCTGGGTTCAGATCCATACTTTGGTCATGGAAACTCCGGGAGTAGTGGTAGCAGCTGCAATGGTAAACTATTCTTTGATGCTGTCCCTAAACTCCAGTGTCTTATTAGGTAAAGGTTCCCCTTGACATTTAGTCAAATTGTGTCTGACTCGAGGGGGCGGTGCTCATCCCCGTTTCTAAGCCATAGAGCCCGTGTTTGTCCATAGACAGTTTCCGTGGTCACATGGCCAGCGTGACTAGACATGAAATGCCATTATCTTCCCACCGAGGTGGTACCTATTTATCTACTTGCATTTGCATGCTTTTGAACTGCTAGGTTGGCTGGAGCCGGTACAAGCAGCGGGAGCTCACTCCGTCGCATGGATTCAATCTTATGACTGCTGGTCTTCTGACCTTGCAGCACAGAGGCTTCTGCGGTTTAACCCACAGCGCCACCATGGCTCCCTTGTGTGTCTTATTAAGGATGCCATAAAAATGACTTGATAGCACGGAACTATAAAAATTACTGTTTATTTGATCTATACCTGTTTAAATGAGATTCCATTATAAGAAAGGATAAGTGGGTTATATTGGATAAGTATGCTGATGAGAACATGAGAAAGAGTATACAGAATGATACTAGGCATTGGTGATTTTACAATCTTTAAGAGAGATTGCTATTACTTGTTTATTTCACTTATATATCCCTTTTCAGAAAACAGTTTTATTCAGGGAAACAAAAATCACATTACCCCAAAACATTAAAACATCAAGAAGGAATAAAGTCAATACAATGTATAACGAGGACAGATTAGATATGTTTTGAAATCTCTTTTAAACACAGCAAGAGGTGAGGGGGTTAGTGTGTCCTGGTTATGCAGCAGTATTACAGTTTCCAATCCATCTTGATAAAACACAATAGAAATGTTTTATATGGCCAGGAAAAGTCAGAATTTATTAGTTGTGAATTCATTATCAGGATTTATTTTTAAAATGTTTATTGCTTATAAGGATATCTTAATATTTTTCCTGGTTACAGGTTGAAAAAATGTGTTGTTACTAATGTGTAATCATTTTCTACTAAAAAGAGCCAAATAATAAATCTACAGATTTTTGGTTGACATATGCCTAACCAATAAATCTGAAATATTAGTTCAATGATAATGGAGTTTACTTGCAATATTGATATATCACAAGCAGTTCTGGGTTCCGTTTTGTCAAGTTTTAGATGTGTTTATTTCCCCTTAGCGTTCTGTCAATAGCGTGTTACAAATTTTGTGCCTTTATGTTGACTCCAACTTTTCCCCCCAGAGTAAGGGATTTTACATCATTCTGTTAATTTTTGAAAGGAGCTCCATTTGCCTCAAATGTCTTGTCAACTGCACTCTTGCATCATCTTACGCATCCACACTTGAAAGTGATTTGAAACCTGCAGGGTTTGCAACAAGTATTCATACTTTTCTTTTAGCTGTTCCTATGAATCTGGGCATGTCGTATTCAACTCGTGTGTAGAAAACATTGGGCCTCGATATCACTTGAAGGGAATCAGACTCAGACTTCCTTCTGAATAAAGATTGCTGGAAGTGTTGTGAGCATGGGGCTAACACATTCCAAATTCTAGTAAATTACTTAGGGAATAACCCGCCATCCCTAAAGAGACATACCTGAGTGCACAGTCAATCTGAAAGACAAGTTTCTTTCAGCCATTCAAATTGCTTCATGCAATGCAATGAAGCAATCTGCAGGCGATTTCCTGCATCTTGAATTGTAGATACAGAAGCAATATCCCACATTCATGAACCAGGGCTTTTTGAAGAATAGAATCTACAGTAGTTTTATGTATATTTACAGTATATCCATACTAACTAATTATGTTGTAATCATAGAGTTAAGCTACACATAGCCCTTTGTTTTCTCTATGACTGTAGATCCAAATGTGATGGGGCCTAGATCAGTAGACAACGCAAGTGTTCTTGGACTGCAATTCCTAAAAGCCTTCACCACCAGCTGTGCTGGCCAGGGTTTTGAGGAGTTGCAGTCCAATAATACCTGGGTTACCCAAGGCTTGAAACCATTCACCCTAGATGATAACATTTGGTGAGCAGAAAGAAACTCCTACAACCTTACCACCAGACTGCACATACAGTATATTAGCAAGAGCATCTGAGAATGTAACAAAGAGCTTGCACTCCCTAAACTGTAGCAATAAGAAGTTGCCATTGCAGCAGATTATCTCATTAACAGGGTGGAGAAGAGGAAGTGTTAACATTTTCTGAAAATACAGAGATGAATCCTCTTGGAAATTCTTTCAAACCAAAGGAGGGTTGGAGTTATTCCAAGTAGCTTCAAAGGCAGGTGTAACAGATAGAATGTTGCCTATAGGCCAAAAACCACAAATGGTGATACACTAATAATGCTTTATTTTATAAAGTGTGGCATTAAGTGATATTTTAATTTAGCAACATAATGCCAATAGAAGGAAATATCAAGTTGAATGGAACCCTGTCCCAGTTACGAACTGAGATAATCCTATCAAACTAGTATAACTTATGGATATGGCAGAGAAATACAGTAGTGTTTAACAGGGTTATACCCTTTTTGAGAATCTTTCAAAATATGGGATATGTTTCTGGTATGAAGCTCTTTCCCTTTTTTTAGCTCGATGCCAGAATGCCTCTAATGTCCAGAAATGTCCAATAAAATGTTTTTAAAGTTTACATATTGACCAAGCAGTACTTACGCTACACGCAGTCCATTCAGCTGGTCTTCCTAAGAGAAGATCAGCCTATACTGATCACTGCTACATTACCTAATAGGTTTGTATTTGAATTTTAATAAAATATGCTTTAAACACCTGGGAAACTGATACTGAAGTCTTATGAGTTCTTAGAGAAGGGAGTCATCAGTACACACTCCTTCAAGGCCATGGTGGAATTGCTCCAAAATGGTTCTAGAAATGAAAGAAAACAGCAGCCAATACAAGCAGATGAAAAATATTGTGGAAGCAGGGCTTCAGAAGTGCAAAAAGAGCATGAAAAATTAAACAACCACAGCTGCTGCTATTAGATCTCTTACTAGTGAAATCGCCCCCATGGGCAAATGATAGTCAGGAATGGTGCGTTTATTGTCCCCCTGGGCCAGTTGTAGAGCATTCTCTCTGGTAGTCTTCTCTGCTTGCCCTTTAGCTTAAGGTTTAAGACCCAAGTCAATACGTATTTTGTACAGTATTTGCCAAGACACTCTATTGAGTTATTTTTAATTATTTCTGTGCTGTTCTGATGTGTTACTGTAAATCTGTTTTGTTCTGTCATTTAACATATTTAAAATAGGATATACAGTACTTTTGATCGTTATGCATACACACATTAAATGAATTGGAGAGTGCTGTGATCCATGAATGGATTAAAATTGACTCCTGACATCTTATGTGTTACAGTCCTAAAGTCTGTTGAATATGCTGTTAAGTTAGAGAAGTTGCTCCCTTTTAATTATGCATCAGATGCTGCTTTAATCCAACACTACTGCATGGAATTCCTTTATCAGATATCAGCAAGGAAAAACTTAAGATGCAGCTTTCCAATGGTTTTATAGTGAATAATGTGCCCAAGCTAACCTTTTTTCATCCTATAGCTGACAAGTCTGAAAAAGAAGCAGCAGATAAAATAAAATGAGAGAAGATAAAAACCGAGATACCTAATCACCGGTCAATGAAACAAGATACGATGGCTTTTCTTCAGTCAAATCCTTGTGTTCATTTGGATTGAATATCTCTCTGTTGAATATTAATAAGGGTTTCCCTTGGGAGCACTGCAGGACAGATCATGTAGCAATCATATCTGCTATTCAAGCTACACACTTTGGAAAACTACAAATAAACTCCTCAGGAATAATTAATTCTCAGATTCATCTTCTGTCCATTTACATCCAGATTCTTTTCCTAGTCCTGGATAGTTGCTTCAATAGGGAACGATTTAATTACCCTACACAACAATGCCAGTGGCGTATTCCTGTGTGCCTTCCTCCGCTAACCTACATACATTTCCTTCCACCAAGGTGGTTTATATTCCTTATAAATTATTAGTCTTTGCTCTAAAGGAAGGGCCTAATGATGATGACTCTAATTGCAAGGACCTTCTTGATTTAGTCACATCTTGCAACACTGAATGCTGGAGGGAATGTGGCAGTCTAAGATCCCAATCCAACCTCTTTGTTTTGGTGAGTAAGGTTTAGGGTCAACTACAGATAGGGTGTGTGTGCACACGTACTAGTTGGTAGTTGAGTTTTGTTTGATTTATTGCTCTATCAGTCTCTTCAGTTTATAATTCTGTCCACGCCTACTTTTTAATAGACATACATATAGGGCTGGGCTGATAAGCTTTAAACACTATAGCTTGTCACAAGGTTTTTGGAAAGCTAAAAATCAGGATGGAGAACTCTTCAGTGCTCTTGAGCATTTCCTGCACCCTCTAAAGTTTTGCAGAAGCAGTTTAGAATTGATTTCATTTGTCTGTTTCATTACTCTAGTGAGAGAAGAGTTAAATTCAGTGCATGGGTATTGGTCTCCCCTGGCAGGATGATCTCTCAAGGAAATGAACATTGCTAGCAGGAGCAGGTGGGGAACTCAGTAAAGCAGAGAAGATCATGCTAATTGGAAAAATTGGTGTAGTGTTTCTGATGTTCCAGTATATTGTTTCTAGTTCTTACTCACTGTATTTACAATGTTTATTTTTCTACATATTATTATGGTTTAATCATGTTGTGAGCCATTCTGAAGACATTTTTAAAAACTGTAATGGATATTTTTATAGCTCAATCACAAGCACATTTGGTTGCAAGCAAGTTCTCCTGTGGACAGTGGCGCTAACTCCCAGGTAAAAATGCAGAGTAATGATCGTAATCCTTGACACATTCACTTGAGTTTAAACAC